TTTTCATTTTTGCAGAGAACAGACATGCCAAATTATAAGGTGAGAATTCTATAACCTATAACCTGAAATTAAGAGATTCCAACTTTGCCAGACCAGATGATAGGAAACGGTTTTCTATACATAAAAGCTGGATCTATACTCAGTCATCCTTTATTTCCATTAAAATTAATATGAAAACTTGCTGATTATTAACTTAAATTCCTTCAATTTCTATGTGACACACTGCAAGTAATGTTAAATATGGATCCAACTTGGAAGATAAATATATAAAAGCACATGGGGGAGTTAAGATTATCCAGGATCTTATACATTAGGATAATATTTTCCATATAATATGTCAGCTGAAATATTTTTATTTTTCAATTTAAATGTAGCTGTCAAAACTTTTGAACAAGAAAAGTTTGTTGACTACTCTGGATGCTCACTTATCTTAGAAACGAATACCAAAATAGCAAGCAAAATCTATGTTTAAATTGTGATATATTTTTTTCAAATCAAATGAGACAAAAGTAAAGAGTTACAACAGTAATAGAAAGTGATATCTGATGCCAACATAGTATGAAATGCTGTCACAGTAGTTTTAAATCCTAGAGAAAGAAAAGCCTTTTCTAAGTAAAATGCATTTGAATGAAAATCTGTTCTGGACAAATAAACTTTCTTCATATACAGTTGACTAAGCAGATTATATTAAATTTTAGAGGAAATGGCTGCAAGAAAAATATAACATCTCTAAATACAGAACATGTTAGAAACATCAAATTACTACGACACTGTCTTGCAAAAGTGACCAGATGCACCTGGGAAATTTAAACAGTGCATGAAGGTAAGAACCCAAGACAGGCTTCAGAAATCAGCAATGGCAGATAGCTGTCAATTACCAGAACAATAAATCAGTACCAACAAGCAACGATTAATTTTCAGGCTGAATTGCTATAGTGTAATGTTTCACCAGCAATTGCAGCTAGCATCTTAAGAGGCAGTGAACTGCTTTGTGGTGTAACTCTTGGCAGCTCACAGGCAACAAAGACTAGTTGTATTTGAACCTGGCAAATTGATTTCTGATTGCTCAGAGTCACAGGAGGCCAGGGAAGTAAAGGTCCCTCATCTCCATCTGATCCATTTTGGAGAAATTTCAGTCAAACAAGTTCTTGATTAGCCTGTCCTTGAGTCAGGCTACTGATTGCTTCTTCGTGTAGGTCAGGGGTGCCAAACTGCTGGCCCACGGGCCGGATGCATCATAACGAAACCGTGCCCACCCCATTGCTGGCAATGGCAAAAAAGTCGCAATATGTCGCGACATGTGGCGTGACGTTGCGAGTTTGACACCCCTGGTGTAGGTGGATTTCTCACTGGTCTAGGAAGCTGGAACACAACCATCCAGTCCCAATGCTCATCATTACTTGATTACCACCTGCTGTGACGGACTACATCACTGCCAGTAAATCACTACCAGTATAATCTTTACCAGCTCACCACTGCCATTATGCAGCTAGCACACTTACTAGCCTCCTGCTCCTTCAGTTGTCTTGCTTATCTGTGAGTGACAGCAGCATTTGACCCACATGGTCACAATCAATCTTTACTAGAAGTCAAAGGAATGCTGTGACCCTAATACAATTAGGTCCCAAACACTTTTTGGAGCTCAGTTATTGTTTTGTAAGATTTTTTTTAAAGTAGCTGCTTGACAATGCCTTCCAGAAATTTACTACCATTGGTCCAACAGCTTGCCTAGTAAGAAAGAATCTGGCAACACCTCATGAATTCAGTACCAAGTAAATCCCCTGTCAAAACAGTAAGGCAGAGGATGCTCAAGTGTTCCATCAAAGGTGCCAGGGCATTCAGTTGGTAGTAAAGGATCTCCTGGTCACACCATCTCGATACCACTTTCAAGTCTGGAGCTGGCTCTGAACAATAACTAGTAAAATTGTTTACAACATACCTGTTCTTTGTTCTAAACTTAAAGTTACCTTAAGTCAGAAGAAATGTTTGGGGAAACTGGGGGCTTCAATAGTTGGACCAATGATGCAAAATAGAATGGACTGGACCTGAGTGTCTGGAGAATTTGAGATGGCTTTATTTTTTAAATATTTAGAACTATTACTATAATATATGCCTTAAAATAGTGAGAAATTGTGCTATTAATTTTCAGTAATAATGGCTGGAGGTGGTTATGAAGATAGAAAAAAAATGGATTTCAGAAGCTACTGATTACCTTTTCCTGCTTTAAGTTCTAGTTAGTAGCTTTCAAAGAGGAAAACTGCTGACAAAAACACTGACAGCCATCCATGCATCTTATACCACTATTTTCTATTACATTCCATATTTAGATATTAGAGATGTTCTATCACAACTCAGCTATTTTGTGTGTCAGCTGCCACATACCCCAGTGCAACCAGCAATATAATACAAACAATGGAGGAATCCCAAGTCTTTTAGCCAAATCAATCCCATGAACTCTCTTACCTTAGATTCCTGTTCTCTTGCAGAATCTGTAGCAAATTAAATGGAGGATCAGCATTCTTTGGCACCAGTTCCAGTTTCTCTTGAGGAGGCAGCCCTTCATTTACAGGCTTCTCTTCAGGTTCCTTTGGTAATTTGACTTGGTGGGGGGGCTTCACCATCTCTGTCAACTGTGGCTTAAATTTCACCGGCATATTTCTGAGAGAGCGGACTGTTTCACCCTGGCATATTTCTAGTTCTTCATCTTCTATTTCCTCCTCTTCTTCACATTCTGTTTCTGACTTGAGGATAAAATCAGCTGATTGTGATGTACCTGTCAGAATCAGTATATTTCCAATTCTCAACATTTTAGCAAACTAATTTTGAAGAAAAAAAAACAGGCTCTGATGTATGTCACTCAGTACTTGCATCTCTAAATGGGTAATAGTGGATTATATAAGAGCACTAGGTAAGCCAAATGGGAAATCTATATGAACTTTTTTTTAAATTCCAAAGATAGCATCTACACATATAAGATACTGTTTTGCTGCATTAAACCTGTATATCCACACTATAGGAAAATAAACAGGACATGTATATACCTGACAATCTTGACAATCTTCCTGGTCTCAGTTTGCCAAAACGACGCTTTTGTTTTCGAACCTCTAGTGATAATAGTTTCCGCTCGTATAAAGCAGCATGAAGCTGAGCGTTACAATCCACAATGTCCAGGCCCAGTTCAGCAGCAAGAGCTAAACTGCAAAAATAGGAACAGAGAAAATTCTTCATGGCTTTTGTCCCAATGTCCAAAGACATCTAAATGATCTTTCCACTTTTGCCTATATTAGAAAAAAAAGGACTCAGTACACTGTCACTTCTGAAGCCACCAAACCAGTTTGAACAAAGTTACCTGAGTGTATCAAAAGTGAGACCTCAGCTTTCAAGAAAAATGAAACAAAATGTATTAAGGATTCGAAAAGCAAATCAACGCCTTTTAAAACCAAATGTTACGGTAGCATTCTGCCACCCTCCTTAAATCTTATTGGGCTGATAAAACAAAGAGGGGAGCAGTTTTGTGGACCACTTTCAAAATTATCAGTTCCCGGGAAATCCATCCACAATTCATAGTAGGAAACCCAACTTACCTGGAAATCCCTACAAGAGAATACAATTGAAATAAAACTAAAGAAATTGTGGTGGCACAACAGTAGTAGAGGGATGTTACTGAAAACTCGAGCTCGGAGGCATTAATGTTTATATTATGATCAAACATGCAAGTAGTTGTCTATTATAATCTCTTCCATAATTTACTATATTTTATTCTATTAGTCACAATATAAGTAAGATATAAATTCATATGAGGATTCCAGAAAAAAATTGGCAAGCCTTGCCTTCTATTCTTTTATATTAATAGGACAATAGCCAAGAATTAAGAAATTCTGCTGGAACAACAGAAAAGCTGATTTATATATAATATTCTATAGTGTTCCAGTTAGCCTTTATATGGCTATGTGGGATTAAGATCCATAGCAATTAGATTTATTCCACTATTCCCAGTAGGGAGTAAAGGTCATATATTTATCCTGGTCAGCCATTTAAGCTCAAAGTTGCTCTGTGAAGTAGGTAAGGTTGAAAAATCATTAATTGCCCAAGAATTGCCTGTTGTTTAAGAATTTAGAGCACTGTGTTCAAGTCATCCCTAATTTTATCTTCACAACAAACCTAGAAAGTGGGATGGCTGAGAGAAAAGGAATAAAATCATCCAGAATATTCCATGGTCTGAAAGGGATTTAAATGACCTCTCTACTCCCATGTCAACACCAGATAGCTTCATGTGTTAGATGATGGGAGTTATTATGGGTTTGGTTTGTTATGATTTCAGAATCCAAATAAACTAATTTTAGTGTTGATATGAATTTTCTGCATTAGCACTGGTAACCCTTCAGAAAATTATTTTTCAAAATGTATATGTTCACATGTTTATCTTAAAACTAATGCATGAGTATCAAATGCCAAATATGAGGTAGAACTGTGCATAAAATCCAATACAAAATTAACTAAAAGCAATGCTAATTCAATGGAATATATGTAATATTGACACAAACTGGATGTAGTCTGATCTATTTATTCCTAATCCTACATAGGAAACCCAAGAAATGAACATTACAGAGTGAATACAAGTCAGCTAGTTAATATTAGTCAAATTTAGCAACTATTATTGTAGAAATTGAATTAACAGTAACAGAGTTGGAAGGGACCTTGGAGATCATCTAGTCCAACCCCCCTGCTCACGCAGGAGACCTATACTATTTCTGATAAATGGCTGTCGAATCTCTCCTTAAAAGCCTCTTGTGGGAAGCTGCTCTCTTTTCTAAAGCAAACTGACAGAGCAAGCATATATTATCCTGATCTAATTCTGTTTACTTATTTTACATAATATTGTGTTGGCAGTGAATTCTTGCTTCGAGTGAAAAAGCAAATAGTTGACTACAAAGTTGTATAGTAATAATGGATTGAAGTAGCAAAATGTGTCTGGGGTAGTTACAAGTATTCTTCAAATTGTCATGCTTGTCTTGCCTTAGCCTCATCAGCAGTTATCAACCATATGTTGACAAAATGGATCAAATATTTAACTCAAGGAAGGAGTATTACATATATTACCAATGGGCATTTACTCCCTTTATCCAAATGAAAATCACCAATCCAAAGATTACTAAAATACGAATCTGACCTGCTTACAATTGGAGCACATTTTTAATGCTGGCAGCTAAACAAATATTTAAATAGCTTGTGAAAAGTAGGTAAGATGAAAACAAAAGTTATATAATTAAGACCTCATGTATTTAATCATTTTCCTCTGCCACATTTAAAATTGCATTTTGACAGCATATTTTGGGAAGGTTCTGGTCCAGAGTTCACGTACTATTCTTGTCAGAGCTAAAATATTCAGGAAGTCCTATTTATAAAATAATGGAGTCCTTTGCATGACATCAGAAGCCTCAGTTCAAGTCTTACCGAGCTCGTCTAGGAACTGGCCCTTTCCTTGAACTTCCCCTATAAAGAAATAGAAGTGATTATGTAAGTTATAAGACAGGTTTATCTCAAAGCACAATACATCTATAAAAATACTGTTAGAAAAACTAAACTGTTTAATAAAAATGGCAGCAAATGCACAAACCAAAAGCTCACAGTAGATTCATGATGATGCCCAAGTCTACTATTGCAGGGAGAAAATGTCCTGCTTTGAGTACCTAAAAATTTTGACAGACCACTGTGAGAAACAAAATGCTGGGCTAAGATGTGCCTTGTTATAGCAGAGCTGCTCTTACATTCCTACCCATTCTTCATCCCAAGGATTCACAAACATATCCCTTGCATTTCCACTGTCAACATGCATAATCATTGATAGATCTGCCCTCTATTAATATGCTGAATAATTTCAATGTGAGCACAACAGTCAGTACACAACAGCCAAATTCAAATACTCCAGCAACTATCTTGAGTGTCAAATCTTTACCTGGCAGAATCATTATGGTAACCAAACAAAATTAAAAATAAAATAAAGCAGCAATTAGGTATTTAATGGTTTTTGGAGCACTGCTTGGTTCCTGGCTTACTATTGCTGAGGATGAAGTGGGATGGGGGACAATATCATAAACAAGTTACATAATGATTCCATAAGGTTAACCATTTTAAAAGACATGATCCACTGGCATGGGTTTTACCTTAGATTCACAAAACAATTCTATACCATTTATTGCTTGATGTGGTGCCCTGAAGCAACCTTGGTCTGTTAAAGAGTATGACATGCAAGCATTTGAAACATTTGAAACATTTTGAAAATGTTTACTGCAAATATTTTTGTTTGAAATGTCTTAGTTCCACCTCATTTCCAAATATATTTTCTATAAATAAATACATCTCACACTCAGTCATTTTCCCCTTTAGAAATATTTTGTTTTCATTAAAAGTTAATATTAATCCTAGCAGCGAGTAGGAAGATTTATTCTTGGGATCAGCTGAAGGACTATTGATGGGTAATCATCCTAAAATATATTCCCTCAAAAGTTCAGCAAACAGCAACTGTAGGACATGGTATTCTCAATGAAGCCATATCATATGTAATCAGCTGGTGAACATGCAGCTCCATAGAATAGTATACAATGGACAAGGTTGGATTCAATGCCTGATACTTCTAATTAAAAGAATCTTGGATGGATGGATGGATGGATGGATGGATGGAAGGAAGGAAGGAAGGAAGGAAGGAAGGAAGGAAGGAAGGAAGGAAGGAAAGAAATAGTGTAATCTTTGTAACAATAGACTGCCAATTATATAATTATGTCATTATGGATTATATTATTAGTACTGTTTATATAATAATGGTATAAAACAAAAATTGAACTCCCATCTCAGCAATGGGAGATATGGCTCAAAAATTATATCAGACTAGTTTCTAAGAAAAATAATATATCAAAAGAAGTTTTCAGATGGAACTATTCTAATGTACAAATATTTCTAGATGCAGAATACTTGCATACAGCCTAGGAAATTTAGAAATAGTTCAAATATATACTGTATTATGTAAAAAGTTATATATTTTTATATTTGATCATTTCCAATTTTCATTTGGAAAAACATATTTACATATGTCAGCTTTTTCCAATCTAGTGTATGGACTACAACTCTTAAGAATTTCCAGCCTGCATAGACCATAGCCTTGCTGGTAGGAATTCTAAGGAGTTGTTGTAATTGAAGAACACTAAAAGGTTTATATCAGTGGTTCTCAACCTTTGGGTCGGGATCCCATTTGGGGTCGATTGACCATTTCATGGGGGTCGCCAAGCAAGGCTGTCCACCATTTTTTTTGTCCGCCATTTTTTTTCCCCTTTTCCGGCGGGTGCCTTACCTCCCTTGGGCTGGGCCAGCTGGTGGTCGGCCTGCTCCGTCTCTGCCGCTTGCCAGCTACGCCTCGGCCGGCGCAGGGGGCGGAACCACGCATGCGCGGCGCTCCCGGGCAGGGAAAGTCGACTTACGACCGGTTGGGTAGTCCTCGACTTACGACCGGTTTAGTCCTCAACTTACGACCGGTTTAGTCCTCGACTTACGACCGGTTTAGTCCTCGACTTACGACCGGTTGGGGTCGCGGCATTAAAAAGGTTGAGAACCACTGGTTTATATACTAAAGCTTCAATTTATAGGACTTAGGTTTAGCAGTCTCCAGATTCAATCTAATCCCAGTTTATGTATGCATAATGTCATTTTACTCATGCGTAGAATGTCATTCATAATTTTACACATACCTATCTCATTGTTGAATGTGGATTATAAAATTTTTGCAAAAATTTTGGCTAATAGATTGATGCAGATATTGCAATATTATATACATGATGATCAGACTGGTTTTATATCTGGGAGATACATGAAGAATAATATTAGAGAAATCTTGAACTTATTGGAATATTTGGACAAGAATAATCAAGTGCCATCGGCTTTTATTTTTTTGGATGCGGAGAAGGCCTTTGACAAATTGGACTGGCAGTTTTTAAACAAAATACTGGACTATATGAATTTTGGAGATCAATTTGAGACAGTCATAAAAGCAATATATCAAAAACAATCTGCTCAAATAATTATTAATGGAGACTTGACAGAACCTATAGAAATACAAAAAGGCACCAGACAAGGTTGTCCACTTTCTCCACTACTATTTGTATTGTCTTTAGAAATTTTGCTGTCTAGAATTAGAGAATCACCAATGATTAAAGGCTTAAAGATTTCTACTAAAGAATAC